AACACCCCCCCCCCCCCCCCCAAAATAAAAAACACACAAGACAGTGTAACACTTTGAAATGAAAAGTACTGGGATATGAACCAAATATTCCTGTCTGAGGGTGGGATTTGTTTTCTAATTAAAAAGTGAAGCTAATATGATGCGTCTCCAAATGGTGTCAAGAACTAAGAAATCATGCAAGTGGCTGGGCAAGCACTTCTTAAAGAATGAAACTGGTAAACTAGGATGGTGCTGTTAAGGACAGATTTGCTGGGGTTGCAGAGCTGTGAAGTCTCTCTCTGGGGGTAGTGTGTTTTTTTTGTACTTCTATTTCTCTTCTCGTGAGAACACTCTGATTTACTTTTGCGATAAACCCATAACAACAGGGGGATCACATTGCTGAAATGAGTTTAGCTGGAAGGGATACATAATGTCAGCTGAAAAATAGCACTTGGTAAATATGTTCTGGCCATGGTTCAGGAAGAAGCAGATCCTGTCAGTGAAGTAACATTCTATTTTCTTTAAAGTGTCTTTTAGTTGAGCAGAATCGTACAGTCTCTTCCTTTTTTGGGGAAAAAAAAAATAAAAAATAGTAGTATATCTTGGGTGCTAGATATGTGGTCCTGACAAGGCTAGCATGGATCACTTCAGCTTTCAATACATTTATTCTCCAATCTGTCCTTGACATGGGAGAGTTATCAGGTGTGGGAAAGTGAGAAATGGTTAAGTCTACATCTAATACTGTCCTTGGGGTCCTGGGTGAAGAAATAGCCTTCAAGAGTCTATATTATTGTGGGATGCTCTGCTGGCATCTGTTCTGTCTGTGCCATCTGCCCATGCAATGTCAAGGCCACACTGAATTGTGGGAACAGAACAAGGCAAAATGAAATAGGTAGAAAGTGGGAGGCCAGATGAAGTATGCCTGCCTTATCCATATTCTTAGTAGGTGGGTGCTTGGTCTGTGCTACCTTCTTAACTGGACCATTTCTGAAGAATGAAGAGTCTTCATATGCAACGCATAGCCACTGTCATATAGTGCAGACATTTTCAATGTCTGCAAACTTCAACCTGCACTGAAGCTTCTAAAGCTATGAACAAATTGTGGAAATAAATGTTTCTGCCTGGGCTTCAGGTGTGGTAACTGTGGGAAAGTCATTGACGTATTTTAGAAATGTAAAAATGACATCCCAAAGTAAGCATTCCAGCAGAAATAATCTGACTGTGTTTTTTCTCAGCCAGTAAATTGGGAAAGCATCATTGTGTAAATACATTGTAAGCTGGGAAATTTTTATATGAATAGTGCTGCGTTTATGACAGTATTCAGAATAGCAGTCTTGCCAGAGGAGATGTCAGACAATCATCTTGTTCTTTCTTCCTTGCTCTTGTTGAAGCACCAAACCATATGGCAAATTAAGCCTGATTTTTATTAAACTTTTCATTGTACTAAGCTTAGTGTGAACTGGGAAATGCACTTTCTTTGAACTATGCAGCCATTATATAAGCATCTTAATTAGGAGATGTGAATGATCTTCCTTACATTCCTGGGAGTATCTAGCTCCCTCTTGTGGCTAATTAAACATTTTAAAGTATCAAACTTCTGAAAATTACTTTTGTGTGACCACCATTGCTCTTGAACAAATGATGCAGTGGTACCTGGAGCATCTCTAACCTGGGTTTCTTATTACTATATCAAGCATAAGTTGCTTTGCATTAACTAGATGCATAGATGGTTACAGCTTTGGTGGATAAGTGAAGAGCAACTGACATTACCCACCAGGAATTGTGCAAAGCATTTGACACTGTCTCATGCAACATTCTTGTCTCTAAATTGGAGAGACATCGATTTGATGGTTGGACCACTTGGTGGATAAGGAATTGGCTGGATGGTAGCTCTCAAAGAGTTGCGGTCAACGACTCGATGTCCAAATGCGGACCAGTGATGAATGGCATTCCTCACGGGTCGGTATGGGGACCGGTGCTGTTCACAGTCATTGTTGGCGACGTGGACAGTGGGATTGAGTGTACCCTCAGCAAGTTTGCCAACGACACCAAGCTGTGTAGTGTGGTTGACATGCTGCAGGGAAGGGAATGTCATCCAGAGGGACCTGGACAGACTTGAGAGGTGGGCCCATGCAAACCTTATGAAATTCAACAAGGCTGGTGAGACACTGGCACAGGTTACCCAGAGAAGCTGTGGCTGCCCCATCCCTGGAGGTGGTCAAGGCCAGGCTGGACAGGGCTTTGAGCAACCTGGTCTAGTGGGAGGTGTCCCTGGCCATGGCAGAAGGGCTGGAACTTGGTGATCTTTAAGGTCCCTTCCAACCCAAACCATCCTGTGATTCTGTGGATAAATAGATAAGAGAGAAGGATCTGCACATACCTTCACTGTGAATGTGGCTGCTTTCTGAAGCTTTAAAAAAGCTGAATGGACACATCCAGTCATTTAGAAAAAAACTCTGCTGTCTGCTAACTCTGTTGGTCCTATACATTATATGCTAAAGAATGGTCTACAGCTAAGGTGGGGATGAGATAGGGAGCGTGTTGTAGCTCCAAGGAGTACAAATCTTTCAGGTACCTCATTGGGATATCTTGCCATCAAACTCAAAGTTAAGATCTTTGCCAGATTTGGAGTTGAGAGGAAATTTTCCCTCCAGTCAGGTTTGCAGGGACCTTTATTACTATTATTATTACACTCCCGCCTTTCTATCTCATGTGGAGATAGATCTGTGTATGACTATCTGGATTTTTTCTGATAAATTCCCTTTCACGGCCCATGATTATTTTTTTTTTCTTTTTTTTATGGCTTGTTACAACTTGGGCATTGCACCTATACTACATCTTAAATTTGTCATAAACAGTTAGGTAATGTTTGATGGCTACAGTGGAAATGGCTGTTGTGTAGACATCTCTGAATTAGATTTTTGCGCTGGCCTGTGGCTGACTTCGGGCCTTTCAAACCACTGTTCTGATATTGGATGGGAAGGTGCACTTGTCTTGTAATAAGTCTCGGAAATCAGGACAGAAGATGATCAATTCCTTTTTTCGCTACGAAAGTGAGCAATGGTCATGACATTGCAAAATCGTAAGCATAGCGTTATGTTAAGAAAAACATATTTTTAGGCTTGATGTAAAAAATAGCTGAGATTGGTCAAAAAATGAATTGAACTGCAGGTAACTTCAAGTAGGAACCATTAACTTTCAGTTTATCACAAAACCTGAAGTTACAAAGTTACTTTGCCCTTTTGTCACCTGCAGCGTTGTCTGCCTCTGTGTTTCGGCATGACATACTCAAAAAATATACAGGAAGAAAACTTCCATTAGTGTTTCTGACTTGGAAGGAGGAAGAAAAAAAGGTGAAACAGGTTTTTACTTTGAAATTTCTCCCTTCCCCAAAGGGTTTCAGAATTGAAACTTTATCTCTGAAAATGCTGATTTCCTATTTCATAACTTGTGGCAATATTTTCTCAATTAAAATAAGAGAATAATGGTTATGGAGTTTAGTCAAAAATCTCACTGCCCAGTAATCTGCAAACCAGTGTTGCTGTGAACCCACAGCAACAGGGCAACAAACATGTATTTCCTCAGGGACTTTATTAAACACCCTGCATATTTATTTTCTCAAAATGGGAGGAGGTCCAGATTTCTAAGGCTGCTTTTTCCCTTCCTCTTCCTGAGCTGTAATTCAGACCAGCATATAAGTACTTGACTTAATGTTTCTGCGGAAATATTAACAATATAAAATTGCTAGAAACAAAAGAACATGAAACAGCAGAGGGAAGGAATGGTTTGACAAGACTGTCAGCCTTAAAGGGCAAGATTAATTTATAATCCTTCTAGATTCTAGTGTACAAATACAAATTTGCAAACCGTGTAGCTTATAACAAACACTGTGTAGCTCTGCAAGTTTACATATGCTACTGTCACTAATGTGAGACAGCCTTGAAATTGGATTTTTAGGGATTTTTTTTCTTATGGGGGAATAAGGTAATGATAGTAACAAGGAGTTTCCATACACACACACGCGTGTATATATATAAATATGAATTTGGAAAGTGGAGGAATTCCAACTGGGTGACTAAGCAGAGTTCTGGGCAGGATACCCAGATATTTTCATAAGGAGTTTTTTCCCTTGGTTTAAAATCCTGGGAAAGGAGGATTGTAGAAGGCAAGGGGGCCGGGTTGGGGAACAACCTGAAAGTAGTCTATTTTGTAATGGCTTTACAATGGCTAATAAAAAGGACTGACTAATTGGAAAATAATGTGATGGCTATCTGGTATTGTAAGGGTTGTTGTGAAATAAATTATGCTTTATGCCACTCACTGGAATATGTCTTCTTTCTTTTTTTTTCATAAGATTGTAGCTGTTTTATCAATTTAACTGAAAAAAGAAATAGAATTAAATAAAATGTCAAATTCTACACATATAGTGAATACAGTAGCTATGGAATAACATAAACTTTAAGTAGTGAAATAGAAGACAGCAAAGATAAGATAGGCACGGGCTAAGGACATAAGTAGCTTTTCCAGGGTTTAACACAAGAATTGCACGGTGTTTTCTGAATGATTGAAACCATATTTTATGTGCTATATATTACCATATATATAATGATATATATTACCATGAACCATATTTTATAGCTGTATATTATTGGTAGGGAATATACCTCGACATTAGGTAAAAGATCAAAATGGCTTATGTGATTTTTAGAATGATTTTAAAAGTTTTTATAATACAGCTTGTAACTTGTTTTCTGCTATGCAGGTCATCAGCAGTGAAGGGACAGAGGGAGCAAAGTTTCGACTCTCTGGTAAGGGAGTAGATCAAGACCCAAAAGGAATTTTTAGAATCAATGAGATCAGTGGGGATGTCTCCGTGACCCGAGCCCTTGATAGAGAAGCAATTGCCAATTATGAGGTGAGTACTCCGAGCAATAGGATCTCTGCCTTTCTGTTGATAATATATATTTTTTGAATGTGTATTTGCTTTTGAAAAGGCTGCAGTTATTGAACACTAAATTGCGGTTACTGTTCTATAAAATTTCCAGAAGCTTTTGTCCTTTGGAAATGGTAAATGTGTTTATTTTTGCATGCAATCGAGACTCTGTTCTGCTTTCTGCATGCAATTTCTGTCATTTATCTTCAGTAGAAATACTGTCTGAACATCGTGTATGCATTTGATTTGTGAATACAAAATTATGTTTGGACAAAAGGAGATCTTTTTTAGGAAGTTGGCACTAAGGTACTACATGGCTATACTTTGGTTTTTTTATTGTCAAGCTGTCAATGGAATATACTATTCAACTCCATTTTTAGTAACGGATACCTTTTAATAGAGATAAAGAAGATTCTTTTATTATGAAAATGTTAGCAGATACATGTCTGTCAGATGTGTGTCTCCTACAAAGGTTTTACTAAAGATTCCTTTCCTTGTTCATACATACTGTTTCTCAACATTGGAATTCTAACAAATGATCTCTGAAATCTGCAAAATAACTGCACCACAATGTCCTGAAATGCATAGTATAAATAGAGGATCTGTCAATTCATTTCAACAATAGCTGTTGAAATGTGCAGTCAGATAAATTGTGTCTGGCCACTTTGATACAGACGAGCAGCAGAATTAAAAATGCTAAATGGTTAGTACATTTGCATGTTCCCACTTCGGCATGGGGGGCTGACCTCCATACCCTCATAGAGCAGGGAGTGCCCAGTACTCCAGCCCATGTGGGGCACAGGCTCTGGTGACAGTTCTGACGGCCATCCCTGACCTCCTTTTTTTGTCCTCTGTGTGACAATCAATGGTTGTACTTTCAATGCTGTTTCTCTCCTCCTCTGGAAGAGTTTGCCAGTTAGATGACTAGTCATACTTGCTCAAACGGCACTGCTAAAATTTACCATATGTTGGTTTTCAACACTTAAACATCTATTTCTCGTCCGGGTCTACAGTGAAATGTATGTTAACCACTTGCATAGGATTTATGGTAGTTACTGATGTCCTTCTTAAAAGAAAAACATTGCCGTTTCTCTTTTTAACGCTGTTCCTTGTCTTCATTTACCAGCTGTTTCTTATTTTATCAGTGGCTTTCCACCTTAATGTCTTCAGTATAAACCTTGAGTATTTTTTTACTGGAAAATCATAGTAGTCTTTTCAGCCTAATGCATCAAACTACAAATGGCCCTCCTATCTGATCTGGCAAAGTATACACTTAAATTAAGACAAAAACATTTCCCTAGAGGAGCCTTTTTGAAGCAATTCAAGTTATATACAAATAGTGCAGTGTAGTAGATTATCCAGAGCACTGTGAATGTATATCCTAATAGGCTGTAGTGCTTTCTAACCTGTTATATAGCACTCTGCTCAGCATGCTCACTGGCATCCTGTTGTGCAAAATGTAGTTGAAAAGTTCTGTAGGAGAACCCTCAACTTGATTAGTCTGTCTTTGAATCCAGCCCATTGTTTTCCAATAAAGATGTATCATGGTGTCAGGAAGGCAGCAGGATTTTCTCCCTGATTTCCGTGGTACACTGAAAGATGAATTACCAGAAAGACACTTAAATTTCTCTCAAAAGTTTTTTTTGTTGTCTGTTTTTGTTTGAGCTCCCTCCTGCCCAGCACTGATGTCCTGAAAGAAAAAGTTCAAAGCAAAGGGCAAACAAGGAAAGAATAGATTTCCATGAAAAAATATAAGTTCTTTGTAAGCAATCATACTATCAAGTATCTAATCAGTGGTGGGGCAAGGATAAAAAGATGAAACCTCTTTGAATCCTTCCAGCTACAGAGAGGGCTACTGTGCCTGAGCACTGATTTATTTCCTACACTTAGTGCATATATATTCAAGGGATGAGAATTAAAAGAAGGTTAATAGGGCACAAAATAGAGCTTTGGTGACACAGTATTTCATAGAACTTTGGAGATTTTACCATCTGTGTACCTCAAAATGTTTTATATTAGCCAAGAATATTTAATCTGTTATAAAAATTCATTGCTGTTTCTTTCATTGAATGTTTGAAATTCTGCTTTTTGCTGCCCTCTTTCTCCTGGAGGAATACTGAAAAACCTGTAGGAGTGTTTCTGTGTATTTATTACAAGAGAAACATGATTAAATTAGAGGAATACTGAATTCTACTAAGACAACTGTTGATTGTCTGAGTTAATCCTCTCTTTCTACTGTTTATTTTTAAAAATTTTATTTTTAGTAAATGATACAAAGTATTTTAAAATAGAGTGACAAACCTGTCTGAGGGCCAGGGTTTGCCAGTCTATTTGGTGCAGCCTATTTGCATGGCACTTGTGTTTTCAGGTGAGTTTAGATTTTGTTTGTTAGCAACAGAAACTCAACCTGGCGAGAGGAATATAAGGCAGCTAAATTAATGACACCTCATCCCCTGAAACAGACTTATTTATCCGATTGATTTATGAATTTATGTTTTATGAAATCAGTTAAATTGTTAAAAAATGGGCAAGTATGTGAAATTCTACCAAAATATTAATGTTTGGGTGAACAATTGTCATAGTAATTCTGACCTAATCACCTGCACATTTGAAAATGTGATGGTTTCTATTAAGAAAATGAAACTGTGCCAGAGGAGGCTGGGTGAGACAGAAAAAGTCCAAAAGCCACCACATTGAAATAAGCCATTAATATTATTATTTTTTTTTCTCATGTGTATTGAACTATGGTAATGAAATCATGTTTGCCAATGGAAGGAGGTAGATGCTTCTGGTGTGTTTGTCCCTGTAACTTTGTGGGGTGCCTCCATAAAGGTCAGAGAATGTCAGTCAGCCCCAATTTTAAGAGAAAGCTGTTTATGAAGAAGAGCAAGTGGATGTGAGGATGTTATGCCTAGCTAGGACAGACTGTTTTAGGAAAGTGTGTTGCAATTCCTTTTTTCTTCTAAAGAGGTTTGATAACAAGCATCCTGATAGGAATTCTCTGGGTCAGAGTAAACTAGTTGATTTACACTGAATGGTTTTATTTTGGGGCTTGCTACAGCCTGTTGATGAAACTACCAAATGGTGCTCTGAGGAAGGGGCTTAAGCAGAATATGGGCAGATTATTGAATTGTTTCTGGGTTGGTGAGATAAGCAGGTAGCCTAGAGCCCCTATTTAGTGGGAGTAAAAGGTGTTCAGTTGTACAAATCCGCTCTCAAAAATAACATCTTTGGTTTTCCCTCAAGATTTGAATAAATAAGACTAGTTGGAAATTTCAGACAATGGCAAATCATTTATTTAGTATTGAAGAGTGCCGATGTGTAAAAACAGATGAAGGAACTTGGTGGGGAGAATTACAATGGATTTTTCTAGTCCAAATCAGTAAGGTACACACCATCCAAAAATTGTCAATAATTTGTGCAATTCTGAGTACACTTCAGATCCATAGGCTTTTCTGATTCCAGCAGAGCAGAAATATTAGTGACTTTTCAGTTGCATCTTTTAGCAGAAAAATCAAGTGTTTCTAAAGAGAACTGGAATAACAGAACTAGAGGATTCCAATGAAGTTGGAAGTCTAGTTGTGCTAAGTGTTCATAGAAGAGTAGTGAATTGGGAAACAAAAGTTCAAATAGAGGGCCAGTGAAGACTGGCTGAAAAACAGTGGTTATGGGGTAATTTGTTAATTAAAAACACTGAACTAGTTTTAAAAACCTCACATTTACATAGATGATGTATTTGTAGACAGAATGCTTTCATGCAAGTAAAAGAAGGAAGAGTTGCATATATTGATTACTATGACCAAAATGACAAAAATTGCTAAGTTAAAGAACTGTTTTGTTCTTTACTGAGTTAGGTAGGCTCAGAAGAAATGGGAACAATATTCCATTAACTTTTTACAGTTAAAGCATGAGCATGAGAAAGTTAGGCATTCCTTGGGTAATGGGCAAAGCCTGAAGTTGTATAAACTTGTTTCCCATCACTTCTTGCTGCACGTAATCCCTGCAGCAGTAAAATCCAGTTCTGTAACCTCTTAAGCATCAGTCAATTGGAGAGGCTTTCAACTGGGTCTCAAGATTTTAAAGGATGTTGCCATCGATGATGGACCTTTTCATAACTGCTTCCCAGATGTAAATACGTGTGGATGAGAAATAATCAGAAAGTGATCCTTTGCAAGCATGAAATGAAGAAGCTTGATAAAACTATTCAGCGACAGTGCGCAAATTAGAGCTGTGACCAAATTTACCTAGGCAATTTGAACTCTTAATGAAGAGTTAGTTTTAATTATTTTTTAAGTGAAGAGCTTTATTTGCTTTAGAAAATACTTAACAAGCAGAGGTGTGAAATCAGCTTTCAGCTCTTTTTATAATGACAGATCGCACTTCTGTGAAAGGATGCCTTGCAACTGGTAGTGACAGACTGAGATATTTAGAAAACTTGTGTTAACAGGACTGAAAAGCAAATTAGAGTATTCGCTTTTTGTAGTATTGTTTCTATATGTTGAATAACAGGTAGACTGATAACAGGCTAAAGCATTCAGACCAATCAACAGCACCCAAATCTCTAGTGTGCAATGCTTCAGTTTAGGTTATATGATACCGATGTTTCTGTGACTGAGCTAAATATTTAGGGTGATGCTGCAGTCCTAACGGACTCTATTTCTGTGCTTAATACGGAAAAAATAATGGAAATGCTTCACAATCATAAGGAAAACTAGCTTGACCAGGTGTCAAGGAGTATTTTGTAAGAAAGATTTTTAAGTACTTGAATGCATTTTTGCAGCTACTGAAAGTATTACTGTAGCAAAAAGGTAGAAGTGAACAGCTGTTATTTATTCTGTACAGAAGAATGAATTTGTCTTCTGTGTAAGTCCATTTTAGTGCAGCCACATCCTTTTTGGAATGATTTATCATACCCTCATACTGAATTTCTGCAATACGCAGCGTGGAGATATATAGACAGCACACAGAAGCATGCTTCTCTT